TTCCATTCAATTCATTGTTCCATAATGATCCGTAAGGTTACAATTTGGTCTGTACACGATCGATCCTTACGAAATCCAGCCTGTTGATCTCGGAGTTAGGCGTCTACGGAGTCCTTGATTCTGTTTAGCAATACCCTGTTGAAGACTTTTCCTGGTATTGAGAGAAGAGTGATACCTCTGTAGTTCTCACACTTGCTGAGATCTTTGGTATTTTGATCAGAAGTCCTTCTTTCCAATCTATACTCCAAACCCTTAAGTTCTAGAAAATTAAATTCCTGTTTATCAATAATATTCATATGTAGCAGTTTTACTAGGTTTGAATTTATTCTTCGCTCTAGTTTGCTGATAACCCAAATTCGACATCAGGCATAAATTTGCTTTCATCACTGAGGATGGATAACATCTTACTTTTGTATTAATAGTTGTTCATGATGACCACACCTGACCCTTTATCAAGCTTCAGCAAGACAGTATCAGGGTTTGTTCATAGTTTTTTTGGTGATTTAAAGTGCTAAGAAGTTAATATGCTTCTCTGATTTGATCCAGCATTATGAAATTGGTGTGCTATATGCACCAGTTTATTTTTATACTAGCTTCGATTATTTAAAGACATAGGGGTTAGAGCACTCAGTAGATCATAGAACATGTCAAATTGGACATTTATCTCCAATTCAGACGTAGGTGTTATAGGTACAGAAAAATTAAAACCAAGAAAATGTGTTTCCTTTTCATTAGCGGTCAATACAATGGAAGATAATTTAGTGACGTACTTATTAGGATTAACTGGAGATAAATTAATATAATTCATATTACTGGAAGATTTTTCAAACTTCTTGCTCATCCTTTTCTTTGTTTTCATAATGACCACACTACAAAAACTGATAAAATGTAATATAGGTGACTATAGATATTTCTGTTAATATAGGCAATGCTTGAGTGTGTAATTCAATTAAATTGATCAGTTTATCTTGACAATTATCTATATATGATTTCGACAGTCGAATGAGATATGAAATATTCGGTTGTAATTTACTTTAACGTAAATTCTTACATAATTAATATGGGAAATATGTGATTCGACAAACAAGATTTACAAAAGATCAGTTTCACTCGTTCTAATACAATTCTATATATATGATTGACAAGTTCATCTAACCTTTTAGTAATATGGGCAGGGAGTCTTATTTTAAGAAATTTAACGAAATTAGTCCCTTTGACAAATTTGGATGGTGTATTCCGTTTTATGTAAAAGGAAATATTTGGAATATTGATATTTGAATTATTCTCTATACTATGAATTTTATAACTGTAATGACTTGAAACAACGGATTTGTCAATGTTGTAACCCTAGGTAAGCCCCGATTACTGCTACTGACTGGTACGACTGGTTACTATGACCATGGAATAGCTGCTACTTACTACCTACTTATTGAAACGGAATGAGATGGCGTTGTGGATACAAGGGAGAAAACAAAGACTATCACTAATTAATACGATATCAACAATAATAACAATAATAATAATGATAATTCAACCATCATTTCAAATATTAAGTTGACCAATAAATCAACTAATTTGACTAAAAATTATAATTCATTACTGAATTATATATATATATACCTCCTTCCTAACGGTAACGGTAAAGAATTCTTATCAATAATTATGCGGTAATACTATAAATTTCTGTCTATTATACATTCAAATTGTAATTATTCCAATCTATGTAATTTATAAATGTTGTTCAGAAGACAGAATTCGCCATTATTCTTCAATTGTAAAAGCCTTCAATAGTCCTTTTTTAGAAGACAGACGAGAAGGAAATGTCACTATGATGCTTTTGCTTAGTTTTTTTCAGTATTTAGCATTGTAATAGACTTTATGCAATTCTTATAAGAGTATGGGTATACATGGTTGCAATTTAAAACAATTCAGTTGTAATAAATCCAAAACAGAGATGATTGTAATATTTGTGCAGTTGGAAAACTAGATGACCCATGAAGACACTGAATTTTGGACTGAGCTATATAGAAAGGTGCTGACTACCTGGTTGAAGTCTGTGAGATTATCTTGTGGTAGTGTAAAGTCGCGGTTGACTATGATCACCACTTCAGGAAAACTACGTGCCAGTTGCTAGGTTAGATTTATCCGAAAGCCAAATATCAGAAGGCAGTTGAAGGTTGTAGTAAGATGTATTTGTTGGCGATCTCGTGGTATCAAAATAATACCGAGATCGTGCCAAAATCCACCAGCGAGACTACCGAGCGTACGAGAGTTCATTCAAGGTCACAAACAACAGAAAAGTACACTTAAACAAACAGGTACAGTAAAACAATCACTGATACAGTTGGTTATAATAATAATTGTTTCCATTATGCTAATCGCATTCTCTAGATAAAAGTAGGTCACTACAATCTTAACCAATTGTTAGACTTTAAATGACATGGCTCAAAATCGTTCACGGTGGCATAGGTGAATCCACTTTTTATCTTCCCTTAGATCTTAAGTTTCTTAATTCCTCATAAAGCTTATTATTTTTATTTCACGAAGCCATATTTTCCTCTTGAATCGTATCTTCGATGGCTAATCTTTTCTATTACCATTAATATTGTTACTATCTCTACTATTCTGGGATTCGCTAATGGGATGTGGTAGCTTGAACCAATATACAAGTGTACCAGGTTTTATGTTGTGTTTGATTGATTGACTGAGGTGATGTAAACTGTTAAACAAGCTGCCAATAGAGTAGGCATAATGAAATTTTAACAGTATCGAGCTAAGTGTACAAGAAATATGAAGAGTGGAATTCAATACGTCAATGGTGTAGTTACTGAGTTTGACAGTGACTGAGTTACACAGTAGCAGTTGGACTGGTAAATTTGCATGAAGACGGAATAACTTGACGGTTTATCTTTATTTTGTGAATTTATCAATACTGACTGAAAAATGAACTACATAAATTTTCCTCACTCAATATTCGTTTTACGGCATTTTTTAAATACATGATATAATATTTCAATGACTGTATCACCTTTCGACCGTAGTTTTAAAAGAGCATGATTGGCTTTAATTTCGTTGATGATTCCAATTTGCTTTTACTGAAAATATATTTTAGCAGGAAGAATTGTAATTCTCTGCTGTTAATATAAGCGATTGTATTTGGTCAGTCTTCTTTGACGTATGTACTTATGAAATGAACACTTCGACACTGTTGCTATAGATACATATTTTTAAAATATTTAGATTGTGGCAAAGAACCTTTAAGTTGTCTTTAAAAATTCACAAATACTCGTCAGTATTCCTTATTCTTTCCATTTATTGTCAATTCTAAATGTAGCAACAGATCAGTAATAGTAAGTTTTGCTTCACTTTTAATAAGATACAAGCAGTTCGTTACAGTATTTAGAATTTTACACAAAAACTCAATAGCTACTGAATATTATCTCACTATTTCATTCATATCGTATGTCTTTACTGTAGATTGTAATTTGACAGCAGATATTTTTAAAATTCCAGCATATGTAAATTAATGTTAAATGTTAATGTTTAAATTAGATAGAATCCCAAAAAAATTGTTCACAACCATATGTTTACTAACATTGAATATAAATATGAGCGACATTATCATTGTATATCTGAGTATTACTGTTAGATGATAGCAAAATGTTTACCGACTAGTACTCTAATGGAACACCCTTTTTAAATACACTACAAATTATTTGATAAGCGAAAGGAGAGTTTTAAATATATATAGCTTTTTGATAGCCAGTAAGCTTCAATGACGAGCTGAACTTTCCCTGTTATTCTTAATCATCAGAGCTGAACATAACTTACCTATTGTACAGCGAAGGTCATTATCAAGGAAAGAACGAGGTCCATGCTTCATTCAAAACCTAGATGACATGAAAACGATTGTGTCACATCCCACTGTGTTTATCAATTTAAATGTGTGTCACACATACATAGGGAGGAGCAATCGTGATCTGAAAATTAGGGTGTGTGAACATGTACCAAAATGGTTGCAGAAACAAATAGAATAAAATGACCCAATAATAGTAGAGTACAAACATCCATCATCCTCTGTTGCCAAACATATAATCGAAATAGACCATAAGATTGATCTTAACTCGGTTTTCGTGGTGTTTTACAAAAGTGTAAAAGGGCGTATACTAAGGTTTAGTGAAGCCTTAGACACACGAAAATTCAAACCCCTTTGTGTATTCAAAAACAGTTTGTCCTCACCTTAAACCTACCCTGGTAATATCAGCTTATTATCGAGAGTGATTAGGCTTTAAATTGTTTCCACATTACTTTCTTCATTAACCTTGTCTCCTCCTCCCCTCAATTTCTAGTTTGGTTGACTTTTTATTTTTATCTATAAATATTCGTAATAAGTATGTGTGATAAGTGTTCAGATTGTTCGAAATGTATCGCACTAATATATCACATAGTTCTGATAATCTCCGTCTTCTTATTACGCCATCGAAATAACCTACCTAATTCAGTAATCAAACTTATTGCTGATAGACCGGACGTGGTTAAACATTTCACGACCTTTGTCTATATGTCAATTGAAATCCAGACGGTAGGTAAGATGATAAACAACCCACACTATTTCATGAAGTCTACATGTTCTTTTCCAGGTTCGAAGGACAGACGCACATATACCTATGATTCTTATACATTATCCGGTTTGCCAATTACAGACTCCCGTTTATTTCTCAGTACTCTCTCTCACATAGTATGTTAGGCAAATGTGTAGGGAGCGTGTTTATATGAAGCTGAATAGAACGGGTACACAACAGTTGCCATCACTCATATAGCTATCTCCTTTGTTTGGAACCACTCAATGACAATCTTACGGGTGATCATATTTAGAACACATTGTAAAGAGAATAAAGTTTTGAATTATTTAATTGTAATAATCTATTGTGCAAAACCTTCATTAAACAACCAAATGTAACTTTATAATTTTTATTCAACTTTTTTTGTATTCACTACAGAGACATATTGTCGATCGGGGTTGGATGTTTAAGTTCTGGTCTTTGGCTTCTCTCTGTCACATTATTCACTTTTCTTCATGCTCATGTCTTTATTTATGAAATACCTGATGATAATATCGATGATCACGAAGATGTAGTTACTAGGAGAAAAGAGGTGAGATTATATTAAAATATTATACTGAGAATATTAAACAAATGTCTCATGTATACAGAAAAAGGCCTTGGTTCTTTAATGTGTATATTTTTGAGTAGATTATCCAACGTGTTAAAAGCACATTCACGATTATGTTTCCAATCTGACTTTGAAATAAATGACGAAGCAGCTTGACATTAAAGTCAAATATAGACGTCTAAATAGAATACTAAATTTCTTACCGATGTGAACATTTGGTCAATATGTGGTACTCAAATAATATAATCCCTTTAAATATGTACAATAATAAAATGAAGTTACTTCAATCGTAATTTATATATATCTTCCCCACAAATCCAAAAGTATTATCTCAACATTGTACTTTATCGATGCTTGATTTTACAATAGGGAGAAGGGCTTGTGAAAAAGTTAACCCATTTATTTACCTTATGAGCCTCAAATTCATTTTCATAACATGAATACCAAAGCTTATTTGATTTTTACCAACTTAAAGATCATGTGATACAGACAAAATGTTTGACTGAATAACTGTCTAATAATTGCTATCTTTTAATGAATCTCTAGATAATGTCAGTTCTTGTTGAAAATCCATCTAATATTTGTTAATTTCAATGCGAATGAAATGACTTTTCTTAAACGTTAACGTTAGCGCTAAAATTTGATTTTCAAATAAATCCTATGCGATCAATTAGATTGAGGTTATTCGTGATATTTCCAATGTTTAACTAGTATGTTGTGTCCCACAGCAATATCTATTATTTTCCTTTACCTTAGTGAATGATTACTGAATAATAGAGTGTAATTTTCATTAAAGATTTTATTATATTTTGTTTACATTTTTCATCTGACATACTGGGCCGTTCTACACTGGACTTGTTTATACCATACAGTTCCAGATAACTCCAGATGTTTGAAATGAAATATTTAGTGAAAATTATCCTCTAATATTCATCAGTCACTCACTGAATAAATGGGGGAAATGATTAAAAATATTTAATAAACACTAGAAACATTGAGGATAACCTCAGTTGATCAATTAACATCAACTCGATTACAAATTGATTTAAATTTATTCACTATTTTTATTATGATAAATTCACTTTGTCATTGATAACATGCTTTTTCCTTATTAAACTATAATTTACTTCTTTTCAATAAAAAACCTTTCACATTCATATTTCCTTTTATTTTCCTACAAATTTTTCATCTAACCGAAAAAAAAGTGTATTTTTTAAATATGAAATTAATACGAAATAATCCTATTTATTGATTTATCCTTTTAAATGGACAGTAAAATTAATTATCCTAAGAAAACTATAAACACCGACGTTTCTATCACACACACACACATACACTTGTTTCCATCCCTTGAATTTTATTGAATATATTGATCTATCTATTAAAGTTACTATAAACACTGTTTGGTCATAACGTGTTAATCAGGGAGATTTTTATAATAAATTTATTTAAATTAAGTATTTAACGATACTACTATTGTTGTTACCCAAAAATATGTCTCTCATCATAGACTGATAATATATGAAGTGCTAGAAAATATCATGAATGCTGAACAAATACAACTTGACAGCAGTTTGTAAGATTCACCTTGCCAGGTATTGTAAACCCATCCCCTGACCATTCAAATCTTGAGGTATACATATTAAGAATTAACATTCAGTGCTCTGCGCCATAGAATTCAGTCCATTACGGCATTGAGTGATGGACTGAGCCCTGTCGACAACTAATTTGAGGTCCTCGCTACCGTTAAAACTAACAGTTGGAAACTCTGTGTGATAGTGCTTAGGATTGTTCACGATGGTTCAGATGCATTCACTCTATGGGGTTGTGGAGAATTTTGAATTTCATTGAAATCATGAGTCGATCTAAGTTAGATCACAATTGAAAACCCAGAAGCACTGGACGGCCGTTTCGTCCTAGTTTGGGACTCCTCCGAAGCGCGCATCCACGATCCCTCATTCGGGACTCCAACCCAGGACTTACGTCTTTGAATTTCAAAAACGTTTCGTACTTTTTATTTGGTGAATTCATTCATGCTTCTCAAATTATATTATGTCCAATCTATTCCATAACTGTTTATAATGTTACTACTTCTACTACTCTGTCATGATTTGTCTTATTGAATTTTTTTCTCTGTGTTGACACTGTGTGGCACATATGTGCCGGGTTCTACGCTACTTGTGAATGACCGCTTTCAGTCAGCTCATTATGTTGCCAGATTGTCAATCATTCAATGTTATTAGTAATAATTATGTTCATTCATGACACATAGTTGAACTGAAGCAGTTAAATTTAAATTTACTGTAAGTGAAACTGATTTACTTAACTGAAACATATGATTTCTGAGGTGGAAAGCCAGTGGAATTGTGAAGCCTACAGTTATTATTTTGTACTTTATTGTATCGGTTTTCAAGTAATTTGTTTTTATATGGTTGGAGGTAATCAACCCCGAGAAACTTATTGGTAGTCTCAGACTATGAAACTGAGTGACCCAGGTCCGATCTCAAGGGGAGCATCTATCCCCTGAAGTTTGTAAGTACACCTAACTGGCGAGTGCCAACTAACACGAAACCTGAGTCAATTAAATTTTCTTGTAGACTACCTCCAACCACCTTACATCTCAACGAAATCCATGCTACATCAACTAGCTTAGACTAATGGCCAGATTACAACTTCATCGATAGAATTAGATCTTTATTAAAAAGGATTTGATATAAATGACATTGGTCACTACCTAGTGATCAATCAATATGACACATTGTAAATTTTGATTTCATACTTGCTATATATAGTATTATTTTATAGCTATTAAGTAATTAGATTATATATATTTACATTCATTTTATCACAAGCTCTCGTTTGACTCATAAACTACCGTTGTGGTGTGTGCTACTGATGTCGACAGATATAAGTAGTATGTATTACCAGGCGAAAGTGGAGTGTCTGGAGACAAAATGTTGAGAAAATCTGAGAGAAGGGAACGAAAATGGAGAATGATTGGCATAGAAACGAAGGAACAACAAAGTTTGGGGCAATTAATGGACATTTTGTAAATGAAGTATTACTGTGTAGTTCTCAGATCTCACCATGATATTCTGTAATGTTGTATTAGAATGCACTTGGTTGTTTTCGCCCGTGTTCTCGTTCACTACACTACCATACAATTTAGTGTTCCTAGTTTGTTGCCAGTTTATTATTCAGGCTCCTCTACTCAAAGTCACTTCTGACACATTCATATATAACTGTTATTTCTCTTTTTTGGTGTAATGCCGTCTGATCTGCTTTCATATAAACTTCGCATGTTTGAAATATATTCTTCATATAGCGAAGTTCTGGGCTCAACGGGTGAGGCAAGGCGGGAAAATTTTACACCGAAGACCAATAAGAGATTAGAGTTGAATAAAGGCTACTGGTGCTGGTTGGTGTGTCATTAGTCAGCTCAGGGACAAGGTCATAGAAATCAATCTTCCAATTTTGTCACATGATATTTGACAGGGCCATAAGTCATAACAATACTCTCGCGCAAAAAGGTAAACGTGAAACTAATAGCTGACGATGCACTTTCACATTTCGATTGTCAGGCAACAATGGTCATCGTTTAGAAATTTGATGGATTTATTTATCAGTGACTAAGTTTAGAAAGAATTTTCAGGATTTTGCTTATAGAATCATGACTATGAGCATTAAAATTAATTTCTACAGTTGAAAATATGAATTTTTGTTCGGATTTCAACTCAGTAGTCTAAAACTCAATTCATTTTTGTATCGGTTGTTTGAATCTTCCCAGTGACTTTCAGGACTAACAGCCATTCACTTGTGCAACAGGTATGACATTTCATTCAATATGAACTCAATAGCTAAGTAGATGATGTAATGGTGTTTGAAACAAACGATACTGGTTTCGAGTTGTTGAGTGAACAACAACTTTGGGATGCAAGTACATTCAGCTAATGAGTCCCAAATAAGAAGAGACGTGTGTCCTAGATCCCAATCCCAGCCACATCCAATCTATCCTGTAGTGGAACCGACATCAATAAGCTAATGAGTCACTGACTGATTACCTAGTCTTACAAGTGAACTGATTAGTAAACACTTATTTCAACGTGACGGGATGTTATTTAAGAACTTAACAACCCTAAACGTCTTTTCATCATAAGTCATATTAGTCACCTCTATAACAGTGATAACGAGGATAGAAGTCTACTTTTAAAATTTTTGATTACATATGATAAGTGGAAATCATTATGTATTCAATTAATGCAACTACAAACAGAAATTACAGTATATTTCTAAATGAATTAAAATCGGAACACTGTATACAAATGAATATTACAAAATAAAATGCAGTACAGAACGAATGGGTTATAGATTTGAAAAATTTTAATTCATTCAGCAACGATACAGCGTTTGTAAGAAATTATACAAAGAAATCGATGGAGATGCTTGAAGTCACTATTAATTTAGATTTAGCAAGGGTACTGTAGTCAGAATTCTAAGAAAACTCATCAGTTTCACCCCCAAAATGTTTGTTTGTGGAATCTAAACATTCAACCGAATTTACAACTTGTTCAGCTAATCAGCCCTATATACCGCTCATCAAACAAGTTCATGAGAATTACGCACATTCTCATCTATAGAACAAAAAAACTTGTCTGTTCATATCGCCACGAATCAATTCACGTGACAAATTGTTCAGCCTGAAGAGAAGAGTGGAGTGGAAGGTACAAATTGATACTCTCTTGTGAATTAGTGAATGATGGAGAATTGTCTTACAATCTATTGATGAGGGAAAAACATGTTCTCCTACAAAACTGAACGATATGTAGATCAAGTTGAAAGTATCACTGTCTCACCTATGTCGCCACAGAAAGGTCTGACATCGTTTCTTAGAGAAAGGTGATATGACGGTAAAAGAATTAAGCCTGATAATTAGCCACTGGTTTTATTTGAAAATGAATGATCTATAGTTGTCATATCCTTTTTTTATTTTTTTTATTTAAACACATAAATATTGGTACAAGGAAGCACCAGATACATATGCGCCATACAAATCTCATTCGATTTGCTTGAGGGCTGTGATACTGCCCAGGTGCCCGAACTGAAGCAGGTGGTTTTCTTAGGGGCCCACACCCGGAGCCTTTGACCAAAAGATCTGATCCACAAGGCAGTGGAGCATCGTGAGGAGATGCAATCCCATGGTAGCCGTTGTCCAATGACAGGTTCGTCCGCCATTCGTTCCTTCAGGATACTGGAGCCCATGTGCACCATTGGTTTGGAATGAGGGTTTTCCAACTCCCCTAGGTGGACTCGTCTTGTCCACCAACCCGGTTAAAGCGCCGGACATTCGCTTTTCGTCCTCTCACTTTCGTAAACAACACCCCCGCCACGAGAAGGCAGTGAGTAGGACTTCCCTGGCAGAGGCTGTATATTCGCTGGCCATGTGAGAGCATTTGGAGAGGGAGAGCGGACTCTCCCCACTCTCGGCCGTACCAGGGCATATCCTTTAATCTTTTGATTAAAAGATATGAATTAGAATCATACTTATAAGTATTTTTGATATATCGTATGTTGTAAACATGTTACTTTGTCACAAAAAAGTATTTTTTTGTTGGACAGTCATTTTGTCTTCTGATACCTTTCCGCTTGAGGGTTTACATAAATAATCCTGTTTCATGAGCAGTGATTACTCGGTTACATTGTATCATTGCATTTCATTCATCCATCAATATCTGATTCGTTATTCATTTTAATAATACAAATCTTGCTCACCAATGATCAGAAAATCTTAATTCATTGCCGTTTTTTACAGCAAAATTCCAGTTAACCCTTCTTTCTGTTTCCTATAATTGAATTTGTTTGTTTGACAATTTCGGTCAATCGGAAGTATTTCCGAACACGATAAGCACTAACAATATCTTAAGGGGAGATATGCACTACGATTATGTCCGGATCTATGTGCAAACTAATGGATAATGGTCTTTTAGCATCTTTTCGTTTCAAAAATTACTCCAAAGAATGTTGATTTCAGTTTGTTTTCATTTTGCTCCGTTGTGTTATATTTTTGTTTTTTTAGAACCAAACATTTATCACTGAAGATGAATTTGAGTGTAGAACAACGGAAAAAGTGATAATGGATCATTCATCTTGAAAATTAATACAAAGGAACTATTCTCTCTTATTCATCGCTATTTTGGCTTGATTGCCGGCACACGCACACACATTCAAATAATACATACAATCTTGTAGATAATTATTATTTGGTTTCACTTTTTTGCTTAATATTAAAATAAACATAAACGCGATTATACACAAAAGTAAACAAATAACTCCAAACTACGTAAAGATTATTGGTCACTATCATTTGTTCTCTAACGATTAATCTCGAAAGGTACTTCTTAAAGCGCTTGTGAGAAACTGTGAATAAGGGAGTTCAGCCACGTTGGAATTGAGACAGTTACTTAACGGTGACGTCGGAAAACGGTTGCGCATTATCAAGAATTGACTGAAGTCAGATATGTGGACCAAGAGCTCCTAACTTAGTGGTCTGAATATTAAGCACTTGTCCCCCGACCTGAAGGTTATGTTTCCAATCGCTGGTGAAGTTCTGGACACTTTCTGCTGATGCGTCCCATACAAAGATGGAACGGCTGTCAAGCGCGTCTTGATTTTCAGTTGTCGTATAATACGAAACCAGTGGTAAAACATTTATATACATGAGTTGGTCATGTGACTCTTTCCATAAATGACAAGGTGGTAAAGGCACTTTCTACTAGGTTATTCATAAAACAAACGATAGTAAGCGTTATTTTGTCAACCGTGAGATAAAACAATGGAAGTAACAATCCCAGACATAATTACGATTGATTCTAGGAATCCCAGTTAGAAGAGGTCATCAGTAGGGCTCAAACATGTCACGTTTGAAGCAGTAATACGCCAATTACATTGAAAGGTGTTTTTGTGCAATATCACGAATTGATTGGATTTAGACATGTAAACCACTGGATGCTAATTCATCAGTTTAAAGATTAGGTGCTCGTCGGGAGACCTGAAGGTTTTGGGTTTGATTTATGGAAGGGTTGTGGATGTGCACTCCTATTAAAGAGTCTCATAGTGGAATGAAGCAGCTATCCAGAGAATTTCGGTTTTTAATGGTTGTCGAATTAATGCCAGTAGGTGGTGTAAACTTTTTTGTATTATAGAAGAAACAGAGCAATTAAATGACTCGGTAAGATAGTTATATTTTTTCGGGTGCGACACAATTTTTAAGAAATCCTATGACATTAATGAATACGTTGTGTACGGTGTTACTGGTTAGTTAATGTTGAGTAAAACCGAATAAGTTATGCTGACGTAAGCATAATATAGGGATGAGCGAACGACATTTGCATGATCTTGTGATTTGGAAGCCACTTTTCAGTCAATGAGCGGAGTCTGCTTCAGTCAAAAATATTCCAACTAACGGAGACCCATTGTTTCATTGAAGAATGAAAGCAATTCAGTGGAGGAAATTTTCTTTATGCAGATTTCGTTTATGTAAGCTGTGCAATCGGATTTATTGTTAATTTATTCGTTGAACTGATTGTTTATAGTAAAATAGGATGTCGTTGAATCACCAAGAAGAAATGAAGTATCTTGTCATGGATTGTTTGCAACAATCAGATATTGAGAGGAAGTTATGTAATAATAGACTAGTAAAAAGTGCTAAGGTGAAGATAACTGTCCACTTGATAGCTATTAAGAACAGAATAACTAAAACTTGCAACAATAGTTATTCAATACATTTTTGTATTGATTATTTGAATCTTCCAGTCGACTTTTAGGACTATAACTGACCAGTCTCTTATTGGCATATATACATCCTGTGAGGACTGCCCCAATATTATACACAGAGATGGATAAGACCAGAGTGGGACAAAACGCGCGTTCTAGTTTCCACAGCTGGCCACCATCCATTTCATCATTTATGCCTCTAATTTCTACATTATCGTTAACTATACTTTACGCTTTTAATCTGGATCATGAACTTACTTCCTCCATAAAAACTAGCTTTACTGTCTATATGGTACTTTCATTTGTTTTCCAACTGTTTACACAAAATGCACCAGATAGGTTGTAGTTTATTTAAGCTTTCCTCTCTCTAAAACACGCTCACTAACTATATAATCGTTTATTTTGATATAGTGGGGTTGGGGATGAATAAGAGAAACCTGTTTACCTATTTGACTTTCATGTTACGTTTAATTATTGCCTTATTTATATATTTAGTGAATGTAACCGTTTCGTTTGTTTGTATATATATGTGTGCGGATGCACGGAGAAGTGAAATGTCAATTTTAAACCTGGACCATCGAAAATCACACGGAAGTCAATAAACGTCAGAAATTTGCATAAATTACACCATCAATGTGTACCCTAATATGAAGCAGAACAAAAGTAATGAGATGACTACGATAAGTTCTAAATTTAGAAAAAGTTAGTGTCGCTTTTTGCTACAATAAAAAATGGAGGTTAGACAATAACACTGTCGGATGCCGGTTCAGTGGTCTTGAGGTTAAGCGTTCGCGCGCGAGACCGACAGGCCCTGGGTTTGAATCCCACGGGCGGGATCGTAGACAAGCACTACTGAGGAGTCTCATACTAGGACGATACGGCCGTCCAGTGCTTCCAGGTTTTCCATGGTGGTCTAGCCTTAATTGACTCATGAATTCAACTATTAAATTACTAATTAGTTTCCACAAAACCCCCTTCTGACAAATGGAATCGAATTGATGAAAATATTTTTACACAATTGATTTTCCTTGCAAATTTAAACAAAGTGAGAATAACAAGTTGTAAGTAACATTACCAAGATTTGACTGACTTGATAACTTCACATAAATTGAACGCTGAGTTGATTGTCAGTGATAAAATAATGATATAAATGTTTGCAATATTCCGATGTATGGAAAATTAACATTCTTGATGTTACGCGATTTAGTTTAGGTTGTTTATTCAGAGAGCGGGCATATAACGTAATCAAATGAGTACAAGTTTAAATATTTAGTTCAGTCAAAATAGATCTAATTATGTCAATACTATGTTATTTATGGTTAAGATGACTCCGTGTGGAAGTAACATTATCGTGAAGTTTCCAATATGAAGGCGTACAATCGAAACTTATGTGTGTGTTATTGTAAGAAATCAATAGAACTAAATGTGTTTGTTTGGATAAACGATTCAAGCTAGATGGATGTCTTTCCTTTCTATTGAGGGCAGAGGGACTTAACATTACATGAAACGCTACTCGCCTTTCTTTATAACTTGAAAATAATTTCTGAATTATCTCATCATTTTTAATATGGCATGCATTGTTATTGCCAATTTGATTCGTGGATTTCACAGTTCTACATGATAATTAGGTCTTTAGTGTAGTTTAGGTGTTTCTTGAAACGAGTCGAGATTTCATGAGAAGACTCCAGTTTAGGAAACATCGCAACCGAAAAAATCTAATCTGTAAACGTAATTATGTGTAGATGTAAAAGGACCTTTTTCGTTTATTCAAAATAAAGCATTCAAAAGAGTGTTGTTTATTATATAGAAACAATCTACTCTTCACTAATTGACAATCCAGTAATTAATAGTTTCAAATAACGAAAGAAATCCGTTGAGTCATTGAAGGAAGAAAAACAATTCAGAGAAGAGAAGTTTCCTCCGTCGATGATATTATTCACTAAAGTCCATGAAAAGTAGAAGGTAAGGTTTTCAAGTATCAAAAATGTATTATTTAATTGACTAAATAAGTTCCGAATAAAAGATATTTGTCAAATAAAAGAATATTTGGAGACTGTGAGTCGATCGTCTGTAAATGTCAAATATAGAAGGAAATTTATATAATGATCAAACGGCCAATGAAAAAAACTACATAACGATTTGTAGACGACGAATAATTATCCTATTTCATAGCTTTAAATCACAGATTCACCTTAGCTTAGACCATCATTGGAAACCTGAAAGAATTGAACGGCTTTCTGGTCCTAGTACGGGACTTCTCAGCGGTGTGCATCCGCGAACCCAGATATTCCAGAGCCATTAAAGGATAACCAAGACTCTCCGATACAACACAGCATGCACCGATCGAATCACACTTGTTGAGGAAGCTTTGGAGGATGTAAAAATCTTTACATATCTGGGCAGCATCATCAATGAGCACGGTGGATCTGATGCAGATGTGAGGGCACGGACCGGCAAAGCAAGAGCAGAATATTTATAATTGAAGAACATCTGGAACTCAAAACAATTGTTAGCCAACACCAAGATCAGAATTTTCAATACAAATGTCAAGACAGTTCTACTGTATGGGACGGAAACTTGAAGAACTACGAAAGCCATCATCCAGAAGATACAGGTGTTTATTAACAGTTGTCTACGCAAGATACTTCGGATCCGTTGGTCAAACACTATCAGCAACGTGCTACTGTGGGAGAGAACAAACCAGATTCCATTCAGTGGAGGAAGAAATCAGGAAGAAGCGCTGTAAGTGGATAGGACACACATTGAGGAAATCAGGCAGCTGCGTCACAAGGCAAGCCCTCACTCGGAATCCTGAAGGTTAAAGGAGAAGAGGAAGACCAAAGAACACATTACGCCGAGAAATGGAGACAGACATGAGAAGAATGAACAAGAATTGGACAGAACTAGAAAGGAAGGTCCAGTACAGAGTGGGTTGTAGAATGCTGATCGGCGGCCTATGCTCCATTGGGAGTAACAGACGTAAGTAAGTTAGTAACTAAAGAATAACGCGTTGGCATCTGAAGAGAACGGTAGTGGGTTCAAGTCTCGCATTGATAATCAACTCTGTTATGCAGCTAACGAATCCAAAGTAGAATTTAACACGCGTCCTGGATCCCACTGCTAGCAACCGTACATCTCTGCTTATAATGCTTGTGACTTAAGGCAATATCGAAGCAGTCCTCACAGGATGCATATATGCCAATAAGAGACTGATCAGTTGTAGTCCTAAATGTCGACTGGAAGATCTGAACAACCAATGAAAACAAGAATAATTAAAGGTAATAATAGCTAATCAATAATTAAGGATAAATAAACAACGTAATAACATTAGATAATTAATACTACAGTAAAATTGAACATCTAACTTCTTACATCTAG